CTCGCTCTTGGTCAGGCTGGTCTCGAACTCCTGACCTTGAGTGATCCACCCGCCTCGGCCTCCCAGAGTGCTAGGATTACAGGCGTGAGCCACCGCGCCCGGCCTGTGAATGTTGTTTTAAAATTGGAATGACTGGCTCTCTCCCTCTGCTCTGTGCACGGCTTAGAGCTGATCAAGGAGGTGTTGTCACTGGACGAGCAAATCCACGACCTGGCCCTGGAGCTCTACACACAGAGGTCGCTTCTGGTGATGGGGCGAGGCTACAACTACGCCACGTGCCTGGAAGGAGCCCTGGTGAGCCCCCCTGCCCAGCCCCCACCTCCCTGGGCCCACCGTGCAGCCCTTGGGCAACACGAGGGCAGGCACAGCGGGGAGGAGGGCTCCTCGGCACTCGCTGAGCCCGCACGAACCATCGGTTCCTGCCCAGGTTTCTAGCCCTGGGGACGCAGAGATGGGTGAGGCAGGTGCCTCCCCCCAGGGGGCTCCCAATCTACTGGGGAGAAAGGGGAAGGGCGTCCTGGGGTGAGCTCCTCGAGGTGTCCGGCCAGTGCCAGGCTGCTTGGAGCAGCTCACGCACGCTTCCTGAACGCCTTGGGCTGGCAATTACCGCGCACGTTCCGCCCAGCAGGACACTAAGCCTCCAGGTGAAGTATGTCGCTCGAGTCACAGAGAGGAACGGAATGTGGCCTTTGCTTCTGTCCACTACCACAAGTGTGGGAGGATCTTGGCAGACCGGAGGTGCAGGGTGGAGGTCTCCGCAGAATTTTCTTGTTACTCCTCAGACTCGCAAGAGGAGTTTGAGATCCTGCAGGAATGAGCTTCGAAGGCCCTGCGCATTTTAAAAACTGGCGATGGGCTGTTTGTCCCTCCTGCAGTAAAGATCCAGGCCTGCTAAGAGAAAGCTGATGGAGCGGGGCAAGGTGCCAGGCCCACAAGGCTGCCAAGAGGATGGGCACATGGCGATGCAGGGTCACTGTCAGCTCGCAGTTTGTGGATCAAAACCTCTGCCCAGGGAGCAGGGAGACAGTGTTCCGGGCAAGGTGGCATCGAGCACCAGACAGGGGCGTTATCCATTGCCCAGCTTTGCTCCGTCCTCTCCCCATGGAGGTGTCTGTTCCCTCCCCACGAACCCCGTTTGAAAGACGATGCCAGTTGCTAGTGGTTCACAAGAAGCACCGAGAGCTGATTTCAGGCTATCTTGGTCGAGAGCGCAAGCCTGACCTCAGGGAGCTCCAGCCCCCGCACCCAGCTCATGCAGATTCTGAGGAAGGCAGGGCCGACACCCTGCTCCTCGGGTGCAGGAGAAGCAAGGCCTGGGCGGTGCATCGTCAGCCCCCAGGTAGGTTGGCCGCCCGGACGGAGAGTCCAGCCACAGTGGCTGAGTGTGCTGGCGAAAGATGCGTATTCAACTGCGCCTCTCAGTGAGTCTGTGGGGAAAGAGGGAAGCGTTTGGGCTCCTGCTGGCACAAGTTAGTGGCCCCTCTGTGGTCACCTGGAGGCTGGCGCCCCAGTGGTCCGCAGCCTCCAGAGTGGAGCCACACTCCTTACAGCACTTCCCTGACCCAAATAAATAGTCCTGGGGAGTCGAGAGATGTTCTCTTCGACACTCACCATTTCAATGGTGTAGATTTAATGGCGACTAAATAGAAATAGATCTACCTAAGCGCAGGAAAAAATTCAAATAACACCCCAGTGTGTGCAGTTTTGCTCCATAGGTCAGTCTGAGCAACCCTTTAGAAATTACTAGTGGTCTGAAATTAGGGGAATGCTTAGTCACATAACTGACCGAAGGTATGTCTAAGAAGAATACAATGCCATCGTGACACGTGCTAATCGCAGAGGCGAAGAGGGCCATGTAGGCTGACTGCAACTTGGCCATCCAGAGGGGTGGCTGATCCGGGGACACAGGCTGTGTGCTGGGCTTCGTGCATGCCCTGGGCAGCAGCCAGACCGCTCCCCTGGCCCTTGCCAGGCATCCTCAGTGCTGTGAGCCGCGCTGTGGCATGCATCCTCTGCCTTCCAGGTCACACCTCCCCGGCTGCCCTTCTTCCCCTCTGGCTGGTCAGCTCCAGCCCCAGCCCCGTCTGCCTAGTGTACCTCTCATCCCACTTCCTGTTTCCCCAGAAAATTAAAGAGATCACCTACATGCACTCGGAAGGCATCCTGGCTGGGGAGCTGAAGCACGGGCCTCTGGCACTGATCGACAAGCAGATGCCCGTCATCATGGTCATCATGAAGGACCCTTGCTTTGCCAAATGCCAGAATGCCTTGCAGCAGGTCACGGCCCGCCAGGTGAGGGCTCTCCGCTGGGCTAGGGCCACCTCCCTCCCGTTCTCCTGGGCCCCCTTGTGAGTGGTGCACACCGCTGGGAAGGAGCCGGTTGGCCTGCAGCCATGCCCACAGGGACCCAGCCTGCTGGGCTGGAGGCAGCGGGGGCGCTCCTGCCCGAGGGCCTGGGCAGCGCCTCCCCGCTGCTGCTCACTGCGTGGAGCCGGGGCGGGTCCCACGGGGGCAGGTTCAGTCCTCCACGACCCTGCCCTCACTTCTGACCAACCAGCTACAAATTCCAGAGTCCCAGCTCTCCCCTCAGCTCCCTAATTCTCTAGAATGACTCACAGAACTCAGAAAACGCTATACTTGCTACTACAGTTTTATTATAAAAGATGCAAATCGTGACCAGCCCCAAAGAAAAGACCGATAGGGTGAGGGCCCCAGATGTGAAGCTTCTGTGTCCTCAGGAAGTGCATCCGTGTGCATCGCCAAAGAGCTCACCGGAGCTGCTGGCTTCAGTGTCCAGAGTTTTTACTGGGGTCTTGTTACGTAGGCACAATTGATCAGATCACTGGCCATGTGACTGAGCTCAGTCTCCAGCCCCTCTTGCCCCCTGGAGGTTGGGAGGTCAGGCTGACAGCACGTGGCTCAGAGCCCCGACCCTCGAATCACGTGGTTGGTCGTTCTGGCACGGTTAGCCGCGATCCTGAAGCCATGACGAGTCACCTGATTAGCATAAAGTAAGGTGAAGTCCAAGGAGCCCCCCCAGGAATAACAAAAGACACTTCTATCACCTGGAAAAACCAAGGTTTAGCGGCTCCCTCCCAGGAACCAGGAACAAAGTCCAGCCAAATTTTTATACAGTGACAGCTGCCCTGAGGAAGGAGGGCAGAACCCCCACAGATCCATCCTGGGGGCTCATGACGTTACAGGGGGTGAAATCCACCAAGGGGCTCCGTCTAGCTGCTGCCACAGCTGGCTCGGCACACTGGCCAGAGAGATGGCGTAAAGCACAATCGCATCGTTTCCCTGCTTGAAACCCTCCCCAGCTCCCCATCAAACCACGATGACCCCCAACCCTGTAACACCTGACCCCTTCCTCCCGTCTCACTGAGTTCCGGGCCCTCCAGCTTTCCTTCTGTTTCCCACTCACGTACAACTCATTCCTGCCTCTGAGCCTTTGCACTGGCTGTTCCCTCTGCCTGGAATGTTCCTCCCACAGATCTGCAGAGGTTGGCCCTCACCGCTCAGGTCTCAATCCAAATGTCTCCTTTTTTGAGAGGCCTTCCCAGACCTCACCCATGTCTCCCAGTCACATTACCGCGCTGCCTTTGCGGCATTTCCCTGAACTTCACCTGTACCTACTGAGTTGCTTGTTTAGGTTTTTGTTGCCACCACTAGATGAGGAGCCCCATTAGAGTCAGGAGCGGGTCTGCGCTGCCTCTGCGCACTGAAGCCACCCAGCAAATGGGTGCTGAGTGACGCGGCAGGGTGGCAGTCCCCTTAGCAGGGGAAGAAACACACCAAAAAGCATCAAATGCCGTGCTCCGTACTAACCACCTTGCCCGTAATTCCAGCAAAAACAAGACGACTGCTACCGTAGAAGTAACGTTGATTCCAGGTGCTCTGCCGCGTGAGGGTTGCTGCTGTCCCAGACGGTCTGCTTTATAGCCACGTCTCTCTACTTCAGGGTCGCCCGATCGTACTGTGCTCCCAGGACGACACGGAGAGCTCCAAGTTCGCGTACAGAGCGATCTCGCTGCCCCGCACTGTGGACTGCCTCCAGGGCGTCCTGAGCGTGATCCCGCTGCAGCTCCTCTCCTTCCACCTGGCCGTTCTGCGCGGATACGACGTACGTCTGAGTGGCCCCAGCACAGCCAAGAGGCAGACACAGCCCCGCGGTTCCTTCGTGTTCTCCGGCTTACTTATTTGGAGTAAATGGTCACGAGAGAAATAATTTCATTCAAAGAAACTTTCCTTTTAAAGCAGCTTACACCCCCTGAAAACAAGCTGGAAACC